ATACTCGGGTGCTGGGCCAGTCACCCACTAGCAACTTACTACTAGCCAAGTTCAGGAATATTTCTCAAGTTGAGTTTTTCTATCTCCAAGTGGAGGTAATAATGAAAACTGCCTAGAGGGAATACAGAGGAAATAAACATCATATATTTTAATTGCTTTTAGTGCAGAGTTTTGCATGTAAAAGGTGTTCAGTAAGTGTTACTTTATTATGTGATACAGGATTTCAGTCTATCATGACATGTTTAAATAGTAAGTCCAGTATGCTTACTTATAATTGCATTTTAATATTGCATTTGACAGTATGCAATAAATTATAAGGACTTGATCTAATAATTATCATGATGGCTACAACTACTATCCAAAAAATGGTTAGAAATGAAACAAAAATATGTCAAAGAAAATGAACTCACAAGCGGCTAATCTAAACTGATGTGGCTCATTATTTTATATTAAATAATTATAGCCTTGAACTTTCAAGTAGCTGATGATCTAGGCTTAACTCCTGGCAGTGAACAGACACTGTTCCTCTCTCAGCCCATTCCCCACAGGTGGAATGGAGAGACTGACTAAGCACAATGTTGGCAGCTTCTCTGTAAACAGGTTCAGCGTCCTCAGGGAGCTCACCAACCTGGGCTGTCTTACTTCCTTTATCCATAAATATTAGTACCGTAAGTCACATTCACAGAGATGCTGTCACAGAATGAAAGGCAGGTAGATCACACTTGACTCTCAGCAGGTGCTCAAAACATATCATCATACATATATGTAGGATATCCTATATATATTACATTACATATAGTCTCTCAAACAGCCAGGTGTTAATGCCTCATTCAAGGACACCAACCAGAGACATGGCACAGCACTGTGTCCTGCTGACTCAGAGGCCTGGCCTGTGTCCTCTGCCCTCCATGCCCTCTCTGGGAGGCCACAAGTGTGCAGGGACAGCATGGAGACCGGGAGAAGAGCAGCAAGGACTAGAGGAGTCCGGGAACTCCCGTTGGTTCTAGGTAAGTTTCCCCTGAAGCTGGGAGGACATGTCTGTCTATTGAGTGAACTGATGTCTCATTAAGTATCTCATTCCAAATTCATCAGAGGGTCCAGCCACTAGGGAAGGATGTCTGGGCTCAATGGGCCCTCAGTTAGCTATACACACGTGCCTCTGGAGTCCAGAGAAGGGACATCAGGATCACAGACTCACGGGTTTCAGACCAGTGGCTTCACCCCACCCTTCACAGAGGAGGATCAGACCCAGCCACAGAGGGTGGCCTTAGACCCACCCAAATACATGGCGGCATAAGATCCATGCCCCTCTTTGTCACTCAGCTCCCCAACCAACCCAATGCTATGCAGCCTCCAAAACTCCAACCTTTGGAATGTCTTTCCCTTGAGCTTTAACCTCATTCCATTTTATTTTGTTGTGGCAAGAATATTTAACATGAGATCTACCTGATTAAATTTTTAAGTGTGTGATACTGAATTGTTGGCTATAGACACAATGTTGTATGGCAGATCTGTAGGACTTGTTCATTTTGCTTAACTGAAATTTCACGTTCGTTGATTAGTGAGTCCCCGTTTCCCTTGCCCCCCAGTTCCTAGGGGGCTCTTTGACTCTACCGCCACTCCACACTTTTGATTCAATTTATTTGATTATTTTAGATACCTCATGTAAGCGGAATCATGCAGTAGTTGTCTCTCTATGTCTGGTTTATTTCACTCAAGTTTCATCTATGTTGCCACATATTACAGAATTTCCTTCTTTTTAAAAACTGTATGGTACTCCACTGTGTGTAAATACCACACTTTCTTTAGCCATTCATCTGTGGAGGGGCACTTAGATTGTTTCCACATCTTGGCTGTTGTGAGGACTGAAATGAAAACGGGAGCACACAAATCTCTTCTGAAAGAATTGGTTTAGATTCTTTTAGATGTGGAGAAACTGAAACCCTTACACAGTGTTGGAGAGACTGCAAAGTGGTCCAGCTGCTTTGGAAAAGTATGAAGGTTCCTCAAAAACAAAACTGCCATAAGATCCAGGCAGCCCACTTCTGTGTAGTTACCCAAAGGAAATGTAATCAGGATCTCGAAGAGATATTGACATTTAGAACTTGAAGAGCAGGTTCTCGGCAAGAACTAGTAACTCTCTAAGAGGGTCCTTGACTGTCTGAACTGAACTTCTCTTACTGATATTTAAAGAAAGACTTGGAGATTTATTCATAGGCAAGCACATATGAATTTCATAGGTGAAAGTTGGGAAATCTGTAGTATTTTGATATTAAAATGATGGAGCAAGAAAAGAATCTCAAGTCTTTTATATCCAGTTCATACATGAGCTTGAAATCAACTCATTTTCTGTAAGCTCCTGTGGTACTCAGGAAATTCAAGTTCTTATACTTTCCAAAAACACATCCTTTAGTGCATAAATAGCATTTCATTAGCACACTGTTATTTTTAGTAAGGTTGAGCTCGCAGAAAGAGCTGAAGCCCAGGAACAACAATTATAGAAATGAGAGCAGGAAGGAGAGCCCACCACGAAGGGGCTCCTGCCAGAATCAGGGGTGTGACTATATTTGACATCCATAGTAGATCTAGGGGGACAGTTTCTCCCTGTCATACCCTCCTGAGAGGAGGAGATTGAGATTAAGGAATACCACCAGACTTCTCATCCAGCAAGATACTGGCCAGCAGATAATCAACTTCATGATCCCCAAATCAACAAATTACCTATAGTTAATAGCTACTACCCTGATAAAAGACCTCCATCAAAACGGAACATAATTTGTGGCCAAAGATTTACAAACTGCAGTAGGAACATGACAATCAACAGGTGACTTTATCTAAAGAACTATTAATTTTAAATAAACTTCTTAGGAATGTAATTGTTAGGATACATTTTCTAAGCAGTTCAGAGAAACCAAGCCCCTCCATCCTACTTGTTTCTCCTGCCTTACATGAGACAGAACCTGCAGGAATGGGGAAAAGCCATGGGAAAGGAAAATAAATGTGCTTCTACCATAAAAGAGTAAGTTGCTCCATTGCTTAATACCTTCCTGGAAGTACATGGACAGTAGATAAACTTCAATGGGGAAGAAAAAATAACAAATCAAACAATAAACTAAAATACCTAGGCACCAATATTAGGCTTGCTGGAGATATGTAGAGCATATTTTTAAGTTTGAAAAATGATGCTACATTTGTTTCATAAACTGTTAAGTATTTGGACAAAATAAAACAATAAATACATTAACAGTTTAGGAAGATATTCAGTTTTTTACATTTATTATCAGATGTATTGTGAGCACACACACACGCTCACACACACACACACACATACACATACACACACTGCAGTGACTACAGAGGAGATAGGCTACAATTTCCTTAATCTAATTTTTTCCTTTTATTAAACTGTTTCTAAATATAATTACTGAAGTCAATTTAATTCAATAAGAAAATGATTGACCTGAAACATCTTCTGAGTTCTTAGTATTGCCGAATTTTTAAAACTAAAGTGCAAGATCAACTCAGACCATCCATCCCTGCGGTTTCCCAGCAGATGACAGAGAGCTAAGTATGGAAGCAGTGATCCCAGTCTCAGATTCTGAGCCACCAGGGATGGGAAACGATACACTTCAGCAAAGAATAAAGCTGCTACATTTGAACTGTTTTCCTAGAACAGGTGACTATTTGGACTTAGCATTCACACTTTTTAATAAATAATCTTAAATTTCAGCATCTAAATTGGACACTGAGATTTTTTTCATGGTCAAAATTCATTTCAGGCTGACCAGGGAAGAAATGCCTCTATAATCAGGAATAGTTTTTATTAAGCTATTGTACTATCTGACAGTGCAAAGGGGAAGAGATCTATTTGCAAATCCCAGTAATAGAACTCTCCTCAGGTCTGGCGTAGCATCTGACAAAGCACTCCAAAACCATCTTCCTCTCTCTGAATTTCCAAGGCTGTCTGGGGTGTTTGGTTTTGCATTTGCAAAACTAAGCTTTACAGCAGCACAAAAAGATTGCTCAGCCTCATGAACAGAGGGACCAAAGTGCTGTGAAGATCAAGTGGAAAAATCAGGAGGAAGGAGGCCAAGCCAGCCCTTCTTGTGCTGAACTTCTCGCCAGACATTCCCACCATCTACACCCACTCTAGGGTGCCAGCCCCAGGGGAAGGCGAGTAAGAGGAACAGCTGGCAAGCTGTCTGTGCTCAGTATCCTGACAGACGGCACACGGGGAGCAACAGTTAGCCTTGGGAAGGTGCTTGCACAGGTGTAATTTTATTTGGGAGGTTAAAGTATTAAAAGAAACATGACCAGCCAAGGCAAAGAGAAACAAAACCTAAGTTGTGTTTTATTCCCTGTATTGGCATCGATGCGCTCTGACAAATGGCTCCGTCAAGTTTCTCATCCTCAAAATGTCTCATGTTTGTCCTGCATTCTGTAACTTAGTGCAGGCTCAGTATGGAGACCTTATAGCATTTTCCCAAACTGAATATGGTGACCAGAGTTAAGCAGGCTAACGTTTTTGTCATAGTGCAGAAATCAGAACTGGAAAACTCCTGGGGTAGTTTATCCCCTATGTGAACATTTAATTGAAGAAGGCTCTAGGCTACTCTGAATTTCTACTATTTCCTCCAAACAGACTCATTAATTAGAAAAACCAATGTGACTGACAGCATCTAGTGAGTTCAGAGTGTCTAGTGCCTGGACATGTTACATTTACAAAGCATTTCATGTTTGCAGAGCTCTACTGTCTGCTGAGAATCTAATGTTTGTAGAATATCTAGTGTGTGAGAGTATGTAGTACCTGCAGAGCATCTAGTGTCTGACGTGTCATGGTTACAGAGCTTTTAGTATCCGCAGAGCATGTAGTGTTTGCAGAATATCTAACAGCTGCAGTGTATTAAGTATGTGCAAAAATGTGTGCAGAGCACCTGGAGTGTGCTGACTAGACTCCCAGCTCTAGATCGTGGCCTGGGGATGAGGAAGCCTCCACTCACCACATCACAGCCGGGGCAGTCGGGCCCATTCTCGCAGGTCCGGCGGCGAGCTTGAATGCCACCCCCACACTGCACTGTGCACCGTTCCCAAGGACCCCAGCCTGTCCAGAACACATGTGGGGGGCACAGCAAATGCTCGTTGCAGTATCTGTAATGGGGACCAAGAGGAAAAGGAAACTGTTTAGTGCAATGTGAGGCCACCCACCTTTCCAGTCTTGGTCCAGGTACCAGGTGTTGCACACATGGGCATGCTCTGCATGGACAGGCTTTTGTATTCCGGGTGGTTGCACAGTCAAGAAGGCAGATGTGGCGTTGGCCATGCCGTGTGCACACAGACAATGGGATGCACAGGAGACAATGAAGAAAATGCTAAACTCACAATGCAAGATGGATCTTCCTGTGCAGCCAATTAAAGGAGAAACAAAACAAAACCCTTCAAATAGACACCCAAAAATGAGAACACATAGAAAATATCTAGGTAGGGCATTTATCTTCTAAACATAAAGACTAAAAGATAGAGTAGGTTATAGATACAAAGTCAGCAAAATTGTATTTGTAATTCATTTCTCATCCTCAAATCAAATAAGGCTAGTAATCCTCTTAGTATGAGTTAAAGGAAAGTTAAAGCCTGATTTTAGCATGCAGCCTCATGCCATAAACTGCTCAGGTTATTGTATTTTCAAGTTTATTTGTAGACTCTCAGAATAACATCAAGCAACCTTAATTTAAAAGACTACCAGTTATTCCAAAATAGTTGAATTACTATTTACAAACACTAGTCCTATTTTCAGTGACTGACGACACTTACTTCTATATGTACATTCATATTTCCAATTTTTAGCCAAATACAAAAGGCTTTCTTTAGCCATATATGAGTCAAATTTCCCCTCAGTCTTTAATACTACAAGTGAAATGAAGAGAAGGGAGGGAAACAAAGAAAAAACAGAATAAAAAGGTTAACAGCTGGCATTTGACAGCTTACAGCCTGGGGGAAGAAGGGGTCACTTTGAACATGGTCAAATTTAGTGAGATGCATTTGGCCACTGAAAGGACAATATAACTTCAAGACTCCATCTATTAAGTGCAGATGTAGTTTCTAGAGAACATTTAGATGCAAGAGTTTTTCTGAAGTGTCCCTCGCCACCCCTGCTGCCTTCAGAGACAGGGGGCAGAGATTCCTACCTTCCGGGTGAAGTCAGTCACCTGAGCCCCATCGTTAGTAGTAAACACTTTATCCGCAGGGCGCTAGCTATGCAAAGAGCCTCACAGAAACACTTGTCTAAACAGACATTTACAGCCGAAGAGGAAGACAGGGAAATGGACACAAATTCAGGACAGAAGACACCAACTCAGTGAGTAGAAAGAGGGGCAAGTGGTAGCTGGTGTCCAGAAACCCACAAAAGGAATTTGGGTGGGGGTGTAATTTCTTGACAGCAAATTCTGGTAAAATTCAACTGTTTTTCCATCAAACCAGGAAAACTCCATGGACTGTGAAGGCTTCATGAGCAAGTATGGTGATGAACAGTAAAAAGCCAGGCCATGCTGAAGGAGGTCACCAGGATGAGGTATACTGAGCATCAGCTGGCCTTCTGGAAAAGAATGGAATGTAGAAATAGGAGGAGAAAAAGGTGATGGGAGGTGGAATGATCTCTCTTTAGGAATCCAAATGTAAACTTTATTTACAAGGAATCAAGAAAGCACCACAGAGCTCCAGAGAGAAAATAGCATTATTTTGTCTCAGAGTTAGAGAGTGAAAACTGGTCTTCAGGGGTTGGGGCCTCATCCTGCTGGTGGCCTGGAGCCCCCTGAGATTTGAGGATCTCTCCACGCTTGAGTGTGGGGTCTGAGTCCCCAAAGACAGCAGGTGGAGTAGATGGAGCATATACCAGCCAGGAGACTCCAGACTGCAGCAATCCAAGGGAGAGATGCCAGGCTAGAGAAATATGACAGAGGTGGACAGAGGAGGGGTTGGGGTATCTAGGGAATTTGGGATGATGCAAATGAGAGAGGATAACTGGGTGAACGTATAGATAAACAAGCAAATAAATAAGCAGTAGAGTGAAAAGTCAGCCTCTCAACTGAAAGTGGGAGGCATGCTTACTTCCTGGGAGAGATGTCACACTGGCAGAAGCCCCCAGAGAGTCAAGCACAAATCAGGCTGTCTTGCCAATGGGTTACAGCCCCTGGCAAGTTTACTATGGATTCAGTGTGACCAAAGAAATGACAGTAGAATGCTGTTGGGGTGAAAGGATTATACCCAACTTTATTTCCACAGTGGCATGTCAATCACTAAAATCTCATCCACTCAAAGAGCCAGTCTGCACGCAGCAAGCCGGTCTCTGCCTCTGGGCCTCTCTGCCCGCACAGCCATCCTCTGGGCCTCTGTCCTTGGCACTGCTACCACTCCAGCCTCTGCTCTGCTCTCCTGCAGCCTTGCAGCCGAGCCACCGTGTCACCCAGAGCACTGGGTGGAGCTCTTTGAGTCAATAACAACGTATTGCCCACGCATGTGTAGTGAGCTAGCCAACATACAGGCAAATGGCTTTGTTTCTCTGAACTTTTACATGGAAGAATAGCCAGTGGAATGGAGTAGTCATCTCTCTTCTTCATCTTCCAGTTTTTAAGACAGAAGAGAAACATTAGGTTTCCCTCTTAAGGAGTCATCTACAGCTACCCAGGGCCTGACTCTCAGAGCTCAGGGCTATGGATATTCTTATGCATCAGACAGAAAGGGAAGGGTCCTTGTAATTGAGAGAGTATGACCCCTAGACAGAAGAGCCAAAACAAAATCAAGGACGCAGCAGATTAAAAGAATCTGACCTAAGGAAGCATGCACAAATTTGCAGAGTTAAGTGAGTCAAGCATCCTGACTAGGAGGTGATTGTTAACATATGCGTGGGTGCATGGAGTGTCCAAGAGGAAATTACCATTTGTTTTGAGAACATGTTTGGAAGAAGTCAAGAAAAGTCAGAGCATCAGAACCCTCAGCAAGTAATGAAAAATATCCCTGTGCAGCTTCTCACACAGTGGACGGAATGATATGTAGAAGGCTGTGTCCGGTTTCCAAGCTGATTCACAGATGTTCAAAAGGTAAGGACTTTCTAGACTCCTTGACACTAATTTCAGTTTTCAAAAACACAAACAATAGGAGAGTACAGAGGGCAAAGGAAAATCTGACTCAAAATGCTTATAAAGCCCTTGACTTTTAGTAAAAAGCCCAGCAATGGAGCCACCATCTCCCCACAGCAAAATAAATCAGAGTACACACATAACTGTTCCTATAGCTAAAAACTGACTGCAGGAGAACCAGAAAATCACACGGAGTGTAGCACTTTCAACCAGTGTTAATAAGTTACATGTTTGGCTTTACTTTAAGGTTGTTAATACCTTGCCTTCACTTTTTTCTCTTTCTCTTACTCCATCAGTCCTGTGAAAAAAGCCTTGCCAGGCACATGAATGTCACCCTCTGCCAGGGAGGTCAGAGGGAAACAGAAATCGCTAGGGGAACTCTGACCCTTTATGTCTGGGCTTCCACTCATGACTCCACCCTGGGAGAGTCTGCTCAGAGGCAGAGCCCTTATACGTCCCTAACTGGGTCTGTAATTTCAAGGGAATATTGTCCCTCTAATCCCCCAGCCTCCCTCCCCAACTAACTCCTGCTCCTGAGAGACACACCTCCCATCCAGCTACCCACTGGGTCTCTGCTGTCTTTCTTGGTCACAAGCAACAACGGGAATTGGAGTTAGTTACCTTGGTGACTCTGCTTGTTCAAGGATGTGTATGAATTAATGGATAAAATATCTACACAATGGGCCAGCCTGCGGTTTCCCATTTCTTGAGTCCTCTACATGCATCTGGCTTTCACCAAATAACAGCTGAATGTTTTTGAAATTTCACTGCCTCTCTTGGATTGCTGTTATCTTAAAGCACTGAAAGCCACAGATGCATTTCATGATGCATTAAAAATTAAGATTTTAATTTTGCCCATGACTGCTCATTCTCATTTTGAATTTAAAACTGAATTAATAACCCAGCAATGTTTCTCCATAAATTATCCATTTTTCCACAAACCTAGTCTCTGTGGAAAGAACTGCCTTTCATAATGCTATATAGACTACTTTCTGGGCACCACGTCATGTTTCCTGTCCTTTTTCTTCATGCTACAATTGTGTCCTGTTCCAGTGAGGTCCATGCTAGCTTCTCACTGCAGCTGTTTGCCTGACTCAGTCTGAGCCCTGTCGGAACTGTTTTCTCCTTGGTTCACTCTCAGTGATCGTCCCTTCGCTGGGCCATACTGGAATAATGAAATCTTTTGTGGACCACAGAAACTGGTACATACACTGAGTCCACCAAAGTATTAGTATTTACCCCAAGAGAAGCTGAGGGAGCCCAACATGGGAGAGGAATGACTTGCAAAGAGCACCATGTTGGCTCACCACAGGGGTGAGCAAACATCCCTATGAAGGCAAAGAAAATCAGTGATGTGGTCCCCATGATACCATCCCTGGGAACTCACACCTTGTGTAATCAAGCCCCCCACTCAGTGCGTGGTGGGGTGGGCATCAGGGGTGACTTGCTCCCACCCAACAGAATATACAGCAAAGATGGCAGAGTATCACTTTCATGATTATGTTACTTAAGACTGTCATGTCCTTCTTTCAAGAAAACTCTTCCTTGCTGGCTTGGAGGAAGTAAGCAGTTGGATAGAGGCCCAGGTAGCAAGAAACTGACAGCAGCTTCTGGCTAATAGCTTCCATTCAAGAGGGACCGAGGAACTGAATGCTGCCAATGGTCATGAGATTTGGGAGGTAGACCTTCTCCAGGTGAGCCTCGGATGAGACCACAACCATGGTCTACACACGTCAGATGGAGCCTTGTGAGTCCTGAAGCGAAGGACCTGGGGAAACTGTCTGGACCTCAGAAACTGAGCCAGTAAACACGTGGTACATTAGGCACCAAACTGTGGTAATGCTATTATGTAATGACAACTAAAAGAGGCTCGGGTACCCAGCCACAAAGTATAACTGAAGAAATACCTAAAAATGTGAGAGTGGCTCTGAGATGAGGGAATGGGCAGAAGCAAGCAGAAAATTGAAGATCATGGTAGAGAAAACCTCGATTATCTTGAACATATGGTTGGTATAAATGTAGACTATGAGGATGCTACCAGAGAGGTTTTAGAAGGAAACAGGATAAAGAACTAACACCCAACAGCAGCCAACAGCACAGTTAGAAATGGGAAAAGAACGTGAATAAAATACAGCAAAGATGGCAGAGTATCACTTCTATGGTTGTGTTACTTAAGATTGTTATGTCCTTCTTTCAAGTAAATTCTCTTTCCAAAAAAGATACACAAATGGCCAATAAGGACATGAAAAGATCCTCAACATCTTTGTCCTCAAAGAAGTGTAAATCAAAAGCACAGTGAGACACCATTTTCTACCTACTAGGATGGCTATACATAAAAAAAGAAAGTAGCAAGTGTTGCTGAGGATGTGGAGAAATCGAACCTTTGTTCATTGCTGGTAGGAAGGTAGATAGTGAGTCATCATAGAAAGACAGTTTGGCAGCTCCTCAAAAAGTTAGTACACAGAATTAGTACATGATACAGCAATTCTACTCCTAGGAATATACACACAATAAATGGAACAGGGACTTGAATAGATACTCATATGCCAGTGTTCACTGCAGCTTTACTCACAATAGCTAAAAGATGCAGATAATCCAAATGTCAATTGATGGGTAAATGGAACACAATATGGGATAGCCATATAGTCAAATATTATTCAGCCTTCAAAAGAGAATGAAGTTCTGATATAGGCTACATCATTGATGACCCTTGAGAACATTATGCAATGCGAAAGCAGCCAGTCAGTCACAAGAGAGCAAACACTGTATGATTCTAGTTATATGAACTATCTAGAATGTGCAAATTCATAGAGGCAGAATATCAATTAGAGGTTACTGGGGGCTGAAAGGAGGGAGACACAGAGAGTTATTGCTTAATGGTTATAGAGTTCCTGTTTGGAATGAAAGAGTTTTAGAAAAAGTGGTTATGTATGCATAATACTGTGAATGCAGTTAACGCCACTGAATGCTACACTTCAAAATGGCTAAATGGCAAATTTTAACAACAATCAAAACCACTGAAAAAGAAATAAGAACATATTACTGAACACTGGAAGAAGGAAGAACTTCGTCACAGAAGGCAGAATGCTCCCCAAAATCGTCACTGCAGTTATATGGAAAACAGAACATGTCAGTGTGAAGTGAGTCACGGAGCTTTTGGAAAATTTCCAGGCCTGGGGTCTTCCTGATGCTTACTGGAAAATATAGGAGGAAAGAAGAAAATTGATGGAAAGAATATTAACCAGTGAATAGTTTAGGAAATTCTGAGCCTCTCTTAATGACAAAAGATGCTGAAATTAAGAAATAACTTCTGAGCACTGGCAGAATGGCTGACGTGGGGTAAACAGCTGAGGATGTGACTGTACAACCTTTTGCTAACACCTCAGGAAGATCAGAGGGTCAGAGTAGTCCTCAGTCACACAAAGGGTCCTTTTAAGAGATCGAGAGCAACAGTGTGCCCCACAGACCACCAGTCACAAGTAGGCTGTAGGGTGCTGTCCCCCAGCCTGCTCATGAGAGTCCCTGGGTGGAGAAGGGCTCTCTCAAAAGGAGCTGGGGTTGTAGATCCGTGGAGAAAACCCCAGGAAAATCCATGGGAGGCCTGTAAAGTATATTTCACTAAAAATACCAGCTTCGACTGAAAGGCACAGAGAAAAGTACAAATGAAATGAGGTTGTCAGAAATCCAAATATCTACTGGCAGGAAGTAGGCTGATAAAATTACCCAGCGGCAAGCACACGCAACTTTTCATGAAAAAGGACAGATGTTCGGGAAGCAGAACTGAAAGCCAAAAACCGTGGAGAATTATGCCCAGGCCTTGAAACTTAATGCAATAACTGCTAGTACTTGTTGGCTAGATTTCAGAATTTCTATGGAGCAGGGATTCCTATGTACTTACAACATCCCCCCCTTTTGAGCAGAGTCGTCTACAGCTGTTACCCTCTGCCTGTCCCATCATTGTATGTTGAGTGTGTTGGTGGTACATAACTTGGTTTTCAATCTCAGAGGTTGATGGACTGAGAGGGACCACACTCAGGGAGCCTCATTCACCTTCAGGCCTGATTTAAATGAGACTGTTCTAGAATCTGGGGAGATGGCTTAATGGTATAAGACTCTTAAAGGACCTTGGGAGTAGGTGAAATGCATTACACATATGGAAGGGATGTGAATGACTGAGGGCAGACAATAGACCATGGCTGATGCTCTGGGACCCTAATGATCCTTGCCTCCTGGTATTCCTGCGCTGTGTAATAATACCCCATTGTTGCATATAGAGCAGGGTCTGTGACTTACTTCTAATCAATAGAATATGGCAAGGCATGGTGTGCCACTCGGTGATGACATTACATAAGATATTAATGTCCACCTTGCAAAGAGACTCTCTTCCCTGCTAGATTTGAGGAAGCAAGTGACTGTATAGTGTGCCACTTGGTGATGACATTACATAAGATATTAATGTCCACCTTGCAAAGAGACTCTCTTCCCTGCTAGATTTGAGGAAGCAAGTGACTGTATAGGGAAGGCTCATTTGGCAAGAATATGAGGGTTGTCTCTGCTTAACAACTAGTAAGAAGCTGAGATCCTCAAGGAACTCAAGAATCAGTTCACAGGAACTGAATGCTAACAACAACCATGATCTTAGAAGTAAGTCCTTCTCCAGCTGAGCCTCAGATGAGACCACAGCTCTAAGCAGAGGACCCAGGTAAGTCATATTGGAATACCTGGTCTACTGAGACCATGAGATAATAAACATGTGTTGTTTTAATACAGTTTGTGGAACTATTGTTACACAGCAGGAAAAAGCTAATAGTGATATCGACATCTGCATTTTGATATTATATACACAGAGATCCATGGTTTCATCCTTGCTGGTGGCCTCTTTGGGAATCAGTGCTTCTACTCAGTTCTAGACACTCAAGAAAACCATGTTCCAGGAAATTTTAGAACATAACAAAGTGTCCATACCTTTTAAAGTGTATGTAAAAAGTGTTAAGATATTTTCCTTACCTACCACTTCAGAAAAAAAAAATTATGTGAATAGTTCAGAGATTTCTGTTGCAATAAAGCTCCCATTGAATATCTCCACATATTGTAAATTTTGTCCCACATGAAAAGTCACTGACTATAATCCTGGTGTTAACTTAGGGAGATTTTTTTTTGGAGAATCAATTTATTCACTAGTGGCCACTCAGGAGTTCTTTAGGGTTGCTGTTCAAATAAGTACAAGTGATTATATTATTGTGTTTGCTTAGCTGTTATGTTGTATACCTTCCCATGGAGACCAGGGTCTCCTTTAGTCCTTTAGTCTTGTGTTTAGTTCTCAAAAATTCATAAGGGATGGTATTTCTTCATATTATTTAGTGGAGAGACTTCACACATAACATGACAAAGAATTCTGAGAACCATTTGCTTGTGAAGCCCAGAAAGATATCAGGTCTTGGTTTTCCTAGTTTTCATTAACCTCCTGACAGCCTTTTGGAAAAACCGCTCACCAGGGAGTCTTCAATTTTATAAAAATCTTACATGGTCCCTGTTTGTACCATCCATCCATTTATTACTTAAATTCAAATTTTCCTCCATTAACCCCATATTCATCTAGTCCAAATGAGCATTTGTTCTGTTAAAGAACAATTTTAAATGGAAGTCTCCCAAACACATAAGCCATCCTGATCTTTTCCTCAAAACGTAGCTCCATGAACAATTGTAAATGGATACAGAACACACGTATGTGTGAAACAGCTTCTTTCTTCCTGTGGGCTCAGCCTGGGAAAGGGGACGCCAGGTGTTAGATCTGTGGAGATAGCGGAATTCTAGGGGTGGCTCCGCATGGCCATGATGACTTTGCCTGCATGCGCTGTAGTGTGTGACAATGCAGAGAATTTTAAAACTTCCAACAGATTTTCAATCTTACAAAGCTGGAAATAGCAGGGGGACAGCTCTCCCATGATAGGCTTTCTCACTTATCAACTGGTGTTGGATGGAAATTGAGAGACTTAACACAAGACTGTCTCAGGGGACCACTTCAAAACCACCGACCCTGCTTAGTAAAAATTCTCATTTTCCTGAGTTATAGGAGTGAATCTTAATTGATAACTTAGGAACACAGTGAGGAAGCAAAGGAATGATTCTCCTGGGTTGTTCTGAGGTTGGAAAAAATACCTCAGAGAGAACTACCTGTACAGTAAGCCTGTTGGTTTTGTCTACATAAATACTAATTGCATAAAAATAACTACATTGAGGATTTCAGAAGAGGTTCTCACCGAACCCATATTCTGGATGTTAGCCTTACTACATTTTAATTAAAAGGTACTGAATGCCATGTTGTTTCACATGGGTCATACAGCAAGTTTATGTCAGTATGGCAGAAAAAGATTCCTAAAAGTGACGTGAAATTCACCTACTCCCAGTAATGATAAACTGGAATGTACTCTCCAGAGGCGAGAGTCAGCCATCAGAGCTGTAGATTTTATGAGGCCAAAAGTAAGTATCTGAGTATGTAACAAAACAACCACCTGTTAAATGCAAGATTGCATTGAAAGGCTCCCATGACATGCTGACAACTTAACATACACATGGAAAAGAATGCCGCACTCTGGGGTGAAGGGTGCATTCACTAAGGGTATCTGTTGACAAAGCAGTGTGTAGTTACATAACCCAAACCCTGAATATATGCTCACCTATGCTCCAGTTGCTCAATTTAGTTCTGATGGAAAACTTGACCACACCTAGCCAATACCATCTGCCCAGGACCATCTTAGGACCTAGTTGGGATAGCAGATTTTGAGACTGGTCTAGTTGAATTCTTACCAGATCTTTCTCCAGCAGACTCACTTTTCGAGTCTCCAGGGAGCCCAGCACAGAGATGCCACTGTCCCTGGATCTCCCTTCCCTCAGGAGCTGCTCAGCTAGCCACCCCTGACAGCACCATTGTGGCATTGCTTTGGCCAAAATTAAAGAAAGGATGAAGGAAAAAGAGGAGGGAGGTTCAGGTCAACAGAAAGGGATGCCACAAAGAAGCTAGGCTGGATCCCAAACTAAAACTGCAGGAACCCGGACCATGCTGGAAGGACAGGAAGAGTCGAGGGCGGTGGTGCTGGGCGCAGGGCGATACGCACCGTTCCTCGCGGTTCTGCCCCACGCACACCCGGCCCCCATGCCTGGGGGTGGGATTGCTGCAGGACCGCTGCCGCACCTGGAAGCCAATCCCGCAGGTGGTGCTGCAGGGAGACCACGAGGTCCAGGGGGTCCAGCCTCCGTTCCTGGGGAGAGAAGTAGTGGGGACACTGAGTCAGACTAGTTCAGAGTCCAGCCTTATCTTCACCCACCTCCAAATTCCCGCATCCCCCTCAGGATGATGGGACAGCAGGCTGCTAGGGAAAAGGGAATAGGTGCGTCGCACCCAATGCACCGTGTCACTGGAATCTCAATTACTAGGTAAGTTTTCTAATTTGAGAGTCCAGGAAGGAAATTTAAGAGTAAAGTTTTAAGTGCGCTATAAATAATTTAAGATGGGCTATGTTAGAACCACTTTTAGTCATAAAAATGTTAAGATAATGAAAAATAATGTTATTTCATTGAAAAGCAATTTGAGATAAATCCCTGAACGTCTAGACTTTATGTTTTTGACTTGTACTGTATCAGCTATAATCTATGAAAAGAGTACATCTGAGCAAATAATCATTTAAAACCATGTGTAATGCTTACTTTTAAAATCTATTAATATCAGTAAAAATCAATAATTCTCTTGATAGCAGTCATATTGATAAAGAGCACAATAATGTCTAAAGTTTCAAAACAAGCTTTATTAAAAATGAAGGAAAGATATTTTAAATTCAGATTCTTGGGTACTGTTTTAAAATTTCACAAAGTTATAAGATAGAGTATAAATCAGGAATGCAAATTGTGAATGACTATTTGTTTTTTTATATATGTATGTATAAAGTATGTTGATACATAAAAATATAAAATAAAAAGAAACAAACTTGTATAAAACTTTATCAAATAAATAAAAATGTAAGTAAGCCATTAAATACTGCCAGCTAGAGGAATTATTTTTGTTGTTTAATGCGGTATTTTTTTCCTTAAAATGCCTGTATTCAGAATGTTTATAATTTAAGTATCTACCTTAAAAGTTAGCCCCTGCTATTAAAAACAAACTACAGGCATTTTTGAAGATTTTAACTAGAGTCCGAACTCCCATGCATGTAGAATTTTTTTTGTATTTTAGTCACATATGCATTTCTATAGATGTTACCCTCACCCATAAGATTTCCATTCCAATAGAAAACATCAACTCACATTAATTCTTGTTTTTACTTTATACTTTCCTTTGAAACATGCAGGTCTACAGCTGGGACACTGAAGCTCAAGTTATCAACAGTAAGTTGGAAATATAATTTCTAAAATCATTTCAAGTGAAAATTCCTCTGAGAAAATTCTTAGTGTATTTCATATTTCCTTATTTTGTTTTATAAAAGTTAACGATGTAAATAAAATAGTGATATCTTAAGTATGATATTATAATAAAGCTGCTTTATAATATAAATAATCAAAAAACAAGACAGAGCCTCCCAAGTTGCTCATAAAGGTAATTAGCTAGTACTTATACCCTGTTACCTACATAATTATAAACATTACCCAAGTAACTCATTGAATTATATTCAAAGTAAGCAATTTCAATATACAAAAATGACATTTTTATTTTCAAAATTTCTTTACATATGAGCAAAATAGTTAGATAATGCAGGATAATGCTTCTCAACTTGTTTGGAAATTCTTAATATCCTAATTTTATGATATATTCTATTTATAATATATGGAACATGTATACAGGGAAGTAGGTAAATGAAAGAATACGAATATAATGGGAATATAATCAGTGAGGAAAGAAATGATGTGATTGTCTGTTGCACAGACCTGGGTTTGCATGCTGGTAAATGCTGCCAAGAGGCGGACCTAGTAGAAGGTAACCGCAGAAGCATAAAGTAAGCCTATTATCAGCAGATGGGCCACTTTTATGACTGAGTCAGCCCCAGACAATCCACTTATGCATTTTAAAGCATCACTAAAAGGGGTTCACTTACTTCATTATTAGTCTTCACAGCTAGATACTGCAGCTCTGCTCAGAGAATGACATTTCGACTAGAACCAAAGCTAAAGAGGTACTAGTACTACACTGGACAGTCCTGTTCTCATAAAGCAACACAGTCAGTTACCACAATCTTCAAACAACAAAAGTTCTGCAGCCTTTATAATGTTGTTACCAGGAATCAATGGAAACCATCTGATTCATATACAGAAGGAAAGCAGTTGATGCCCAGTGGTGCTCAGAGTTGGGGGGACGCACCTGGAACAGTTGGCGATCTCCATGCGGGGGCCCTCGCACTGCCAGCCACCACACTGAGGGGCTGGGCTGTCGCAGGAGCGGGTACGACAGAGGCAGGACCCCACAGCGCTGCCATCAGTGTGTGTGCAGGACGTCCACAGAGACCACGCGCCAAAGCGCCCGTCCACAGTGAGATTCCTCGTCTGGGAAGGACATGCAAGCAAGGATTTCAGAAAGGGTTACGGCCATAAATGTGATACAGGAAAAATGAAAGGCCTCTCATGAGACACTCAGAACCCATTTAGAATATTTCATGTTACAATTTAAAAGGGGTGGACAGGGAAATATTTCAAAATCAGGTGAGGAGGTCATTGATGGAGACAGTGATGGGGGGTGGCAAGAGGAGAAGGAGAAAAAGGAAAAGAAAAGGAAGAAAGAGATGGGGAGAGGAGGGGAGAAGAAAGGGGAGAGGAAGAGGGCCAGGGGAGGGGAGGGGCAGTGAAGGATGCCAAAAGCTTGGCGATCAGTGGGTGGCAGGACTGCCCACTGATGTGGGAAACCTAAGGACCATGAGGAGCTGGAGTGCAAAACCACAGATACAACTCTGCTGCATGTTTATGTGCCTTAAAAAAACCAAAGATTAGTCAGCTAGTGTCCTTTGAGACCTGGCCTGGCTCAAATATCACCTTGAGCTGATAGCATTTGATTTACAACATATAGTGGAGTGCCTACTAAGCAACCTTAGTGTTTTCTTGGAGAACCAAAGGTGATGAGCTGATTCAAACCACTAATGCCCCCGGGTTGTGGTGAAGAGGGACACGGGACTGCAGCCCTGGGCCACCCTGGGGAGCTATGGGAGATGGCACTTGGGCGCTGCAGTGGGGGCCCGGGGACCACAGCCTAGGAGCAGGAGCAGGAGGGCTGCCTGAATCCCAGGGAAAGGATGCTGAGTAGCTTTTGGCTCCACAAACAAGTATAGTCACCGCATCCAACACAAGACCCAGATCTGAGTGGCAAGTTGCTCAGTTCTCGACACATCTCAGATCTGTGGCCTCTTCCATCTGTATCAGGTATATGGACATTCTGCTGGATCCCCATCCAATGGGCACAAGAATTCTCATAGAGGGATAAGAAGGCGACTACCATTGGGGCATTTTCACACTGAAAATGTTTGGTAACTTTTCATCGAACGGCTGGCAGGTTGTGTTCACTGGCTGATGTGTACAGGGCATGTGTGATGAGTGTTGAATGGTGGAAAGGAGGGATTTCAGAGCACAGGACAGGACTGTGTCATGAGGGCGCCTGGGCTAACACTTCACATGCACAGAAATGTGTGTCACAGCTCATCAGAAAAATGATGCAAACTCCTAAAGAGCTTTAAAGTCAGTGAATTTAAGTGAAAACAAACAACATAGTCTATTTGCTCAGAATATCAACATCCATGTAGTTTAGCACATTATGTGGACCATAAAAGTTTATGTAATTAGCTACCTACTCCTCTGCAGGCTTGCTTTTCTGCAGACTACATGCCAGCCCAGCCCTGAAGGGGCCAGAAGCCTCCAGAATGTTACTGGAGTGATAGGAAGGGAGCCCCATAGCTTAGAAAGCATAAAACAACATGACTTCATGATACAGGGGGTCCCAGAGGCAAAGATCTAAGTGTTTAATAGCTGAATCTATGATGACTTGGGCAGGAAAGAGAAGCCAGGGTCCATGGGTTTTGAGGAGAAGGCAATGAAGGCAGTCTGGGCACAGGGGGACCGTCAAGGGATGCTGAAGCTGCTGGAGCCCAACAACGGGAGCTGTGGCTGTGTTATGTGCAGCAGTAACGGGGGCTGAGTGAGGAACAGAGCCTGGGGGGTGGCCTGATGGGGGGCTGTCAGAGGGGCATGCTGCTCCTGCAGGAGTTGCAGTCTGAGCCACACGAGGGCCAGGAAGAAGTATCCAATCTTGATCCTCCTGAACAAGCCTCCCATTGACAAGAAACCATCCTGGGGTGGCGGCACCCTGGAGGTGGTAAGGATCAGGCTCCTGGTGCCGATGGTGGATGGGGACAGGGAATGAACCGAGCTGCATAGCAATCTACGCCACATCAGGAGAGGCTTCTGAGGCATCTGGTCCCTTCCATTTGCTTCTCTTAGCAAAGACGTGGGGTAAGGTAGGTGGAGGATGCTCTTACGATGTTTGAAGCTTTGTGAATCCCAACACTAATCAGAAACTTCTGAAAGGACAGGTTAGAGGACTTGGGGCAAAGGAGGTTCTCTCAACCTCTGCTGGCTTCTGTTTCTTTGTCTAAAATACAAAGAAAATAGGCATGGAGAATGTTAGACCCTCTGGCTATAAGAGGTCATGAGGAAATCTGACTCATGGCAGTAGAGAATACAGAGAAATGGAAGATTTGGGAAGGCAGAGGAAATACAATGTGGTGATGAGACATGAGTGAGGATGGAAACAGGAATGTTCTGAATGTTGACAGAGGACATTTCTGATAGAAAGATATTTAGATAGCAAGGTCATGAGTCAAGCTCACAGCTGAGGGGAACTTGGTACAAGCTAAATTTATCAGTAAGGTGGTTAGAAAAGAAATGAATATAGGGAAGATATGAGTAGGAAAACCAAGAGTCAGAGAGAGGAACCAGAAGACGAACAGACAGATGACATGGAGAGAAGGGGCTGGGTTCGCTGCCCTAATTCCTGATGGCTTTTGAGGTTCCTGCTCGAACTCATGTTGCTCCTTCGTAATAAATCTCAAGTCCTGAAGGGAACCTGAGAATCTCAGTTCCTGCAGCCCAAAGAGCTAAGGCAACAACCTCAGTCAGGGCAGGTGGGTTGTTATGAAAGCAACACTTTGAAAGAGGTCTTGCATTCCCCATGGGAGTCATCCCTCACCACTCACCACGCCTGTGAGGGGGACATATTCCTGGCAGGTTGGGCTGGTGCCACCATCCATCCCTGGAATGGGATGGGCCCCAGGCCAGGGACATCCTCACTGTCTAGGACAGTCCTGGCAACCCCACTACCTTGGGCCACTGCTGGGTCTAAAGATGCACATGGCACCTGATTCTGGCCAATGAGACTCAAGGAGAGACTGCAGTAGGCTTCTAGAAATTAATTTCCTCCAGACAAGAGGATGACACTCTTTGCTTTAGACACTGTTAAGTGTGGACATGATGCTTGGAGTTCCTGCAGACGAGAAGGCTCAGGAAATAAGGGACCAGCATACCCAGGGCCTCCCCAAACTGCCCTGAGTCAGCCCTGAAGCTGCTGCTTCCCATCATCATAGGAGGAAACTGGTCCTTTTCAAAGCTCTATTCACAGGAAATTCAATTTCTTTTAGGTGAATGCTGACCTACTGGACACAATCCCTATATACTATTTTTAAGAAAAAGCAAACTAATATTTAAGGAAATTGTAAACTTGCCAAACCATTGTCCAACTAATGATTTACAAGATGTCACTGGAAATGCTGGTGTGTACTTTTTCTTTTTCGTGACACCATGGCACTTTTTCAACATTGGCACTACTGACATTTGGGGTGGGCCATCCCCTGCCCTGTAGGATATTTGGTGACATCCCTGGTTTCCAGATGCTTGTACCCTGCCACTCCTGGGTGTGATAGCCAACATTTCTCCAGACACTGCTACGTGTCCCCAGGTACAAAATTTCCTCTAGTTAACAACGACTGTTCCTCAAAAAGCTAAAAATCGATCTACCATATGACCCAGCAACTCCACTTCTTTTGGTATTTATCTGAAGGAAAATAAATCTCTGTGTTGAAGTGATACATGCCTCCCCATGTTTATCACAGCATTATTTACAGTAGCCAACACACAGGAGGAACCTAAGCATCCATCAGTGGATGAAGAGGCAAAGAAACTGTGGACCATCCATCCATCCACCTACCTACCTACCTACCTACCTACCTGCCTACCTACCAACCAATGGTAGAATACTATTCAGCTATAAAAAAGAAGAAAATCCTGTGATTTAGGAAAGCATGGATGAACTTTAAGGGCATCATGCAAAGTGAAGTAAGTCAGACAAAGACACATACTGTGTGATCACTTACATGTGGATCCCCAACCAAAAAAAAACAACCCAATGGCAAAAAAGATCAGATTTGTGGCTGCCAGAGGCAGAGGGTTGAGGGGAAGGGTGAAATGGTGCAAACAGTTAAAGGGTACCAGCTTCCCGCTGTGCAGGATGATTAAGTTTGGGGGATGTAATGTACAGCATGAGACTATAGTGAACATGGCTGGGCAGTATACTTGAATGGGGCTAAGAGAGGAGATCCTGAAAGTTCTCATCATGAGGAAAAAAACCCCTTTTTTTTTGGTTTCTATATGAGATGATGGATATTACCTAAACTTACTGTGGTACCACTTCACGATATATGTTAAGTGAAATCATTTTTGCTGCACACTGTAAACATATACTGTGCTGCACATCAATTTTGTCTCAATAAAACTGAAAAAGAACCATTGCACTAGATATTCTTCTTTCCACCTTTGGACACTGGTGTAAGATAACAGAGTCTGTAGGCAAAGAGATGCTATAAATGTTCTCTTTCTAAAGATGGCAAAGGATGAGCTGATTAGACTGACAGAAAAAAAGGAAGAATGTGGAAGACATGGTGGCTGAGGGCAGAGTGGAGAGGAATGGGCAGGAAACATGGGGCAGGCAGAGGAATAAAGAGCCTGGGAAAGACAGGAACCACCCCGGGTGAAATGCTAGTGGGTGAACACAGTGACTGCCGTTCTGCAGGGTAAGAGCGTGGGCTTTACTTTCTGGCCAGGGACGGTAGCTACAGACTCCAAGGGGCAGGGTTTTTCAGTCCAAGGCCATTGCAGTTGGTCCTGTTAAATTCTGGGGCAAGAAAAACTTGCAATCTTCAGAAAAGCACATGGGGAGCTGAGCAAGGGCTCTCTGCATTGCATTTAACCATGTACTCCTTTGGACCTGAGTATAGTAATTCAAGAATCTGCCTAGTAAACAGATCCATGAATGATGGGGTAGGTTCTGCTGCTTCACCATTCCACGTGAGTATTTTTATACTTGCTTGGTAATTTCCTTAGACATCAGAAACAGAGCTATCTGGAATAAATTATCTAATTGTGCTACATTCTGGGTTTCTGTCAAGTGACCATCTATTTTGGGTATGTGCTTTATGTTATTAATATTAAATATTAAACCACAGTAAAACACATACTAGGTGGCTTAGTATATGCCAGGCACTATGCTGAGTGATTTACATGCATTAACTCCTTGAATCTTCACAACACCCCTATTATTTACATCCCATTTCACAGATAAGAAAATTGAGGCTCAGATGAGGCTCACTTTGTTCTTTGTCACATTACTTATGTAAGACCCAAGAAGCAGTCTAAACAAGCTAAGTCTAGAGCCTGTGATCTCAGCCACTTCATTCTCTAATGAGATGCTAGGTCCTTCTTTGGCGAGAGTCTCATGGAAATCGGCCTCACACACTTTTACTCATCAGTAAAAGTTGTGTAATAGCAAAGTTCCCTCCACCAAAGGAGTAATGGATCTCCAAGAGCTAGCTAAGGAAGGTCCAATTTCTGTTAACAGGCATAATACATGATCCCATGTTGGAGTCACTCATGTTCATTTCATTAATTTTCAACTGATCAAGGACGTAAATACATTTGGTGAGTACAGAGGTACCTGGAGCACATTCCCAACCATCACTCTCTTAGGATTAACTGAAGTCTTATATTTTCTATCTTCCTTTACTTAGTTTCAAAGTTTCATGTACCATTGGTCAGAGATGGTAACAAAACAGGATCTTGAATGTGCTCCTTAGAAAGGTGTGTCTCATGTTACAACATCAGCTTACTAGCATCCCTAAGTCTATCTCTGTAGATGAATTACAGACAGATATGCAGGACCTTTGAGAGAACTAAGCTGGAGGGTCATGTGACCTCTGATAATGGGTGAATAGGGGCACTCTTCAGTGCCTCTCACTTTCAGTTCTTCCATCTTTAAAATGGAAGCAGTAATGTTTGTCTTTGGGGGTCATGATGAATATTAAAAGAGACAGCCCATTGAAAATAGCCTAACATGGCACTGAACACATGGTGCAGACACACAATTAACGTCAATTCTCTTTTTCATTCTTAACAGATTTTATTACAAAATTCAGAAATAACCTTTCACCTGCTATCTCAGCATAATATGCAGGGTGACCACTGGGGATGGGGAAATGTTGACAGCTGGGCATGTCAATGTCTAGAAGTAATGGATTTAAATCCTGATTTCTTTCCTGATGTAGTTTTAGAATCTTGTGTGACCCCTTTAGACTTTGGACCATGGTGTGGCCACCTAATGGAGGGCTTCGGGCTCAATCAGTGCCCAAGTTCTCTTTCACTTAAAGGTGGTAATGACACAGTAGCCAGGGAAGAATCCTGCTACTGTGAGACATTTAGGGACTTACTGATCTATGTATTTTGCTAGTTGTCACATTGTACGATATGGTATACTGATAACCGTGTACCTAATAAAGGATGTGGACAGTATTTATACATAAATAAAGCTCAGGCAGATTCTTAAGACCACTCCTTCCTTGTTAAGCAGCATGACAGGTTAGGCAGGACAGATCCATTATTGGATCACTTCAGATATGTCAATTTAGATCTTGCTTAAGCACTTCAAATCTCTTAATCTGAGAATCATGTTTTCAATTATGAGAAAATACAATGTTAATCAATATTCCAGTCAACTCTTGCTCTGTCTCCAAGAAAACAGAAATCCATGGACATTTTAAAATAAGGACATTTAGTGGAAAATAGGTCTTCTCTAAGTCGCTAAATCTGGGAAGGTTTTTGGGGTTCTACCTCCAAACAGAACTCCCTGGCAAGCAGAGGATTTAAGCTACAAATTGCAGGCTCTGTGTGAGTTTTTACTGGAGTGCCAACTTTGGGGAACTCAGCTGTGCTACGTTATTGGTCCATGGTTTGTGAAGATTTACCTGGTAGGTTCCCACATGAGGGTCTGATGTCAACCTCATCATACTCAACCTCCCCCTGTCTCTCTTTGAGCTTCACGTAATAGGATCTCCTTTTTTGTTCTTCAACTCAGGCTTGAACATTGGCTACAGAGATGCTCTCTCTGGTCTCACTCCAAAATCCAGCAGCTTATAAAGCTCAGTATTATAACATTGCTGAAATCAGCTGGCATCTTGCACTCTATGGTAGCCATTTTTTCTTATACAACAAGCAATGACATATCAGAAATGATGAAATATGGCGGATTTGGCCAATAAAATCAAGCCTTTCTTCCATTTCAGTAAAAAATAAATGATAACATAAAAGCAAAATTGCATTTTAATAGCTTTTAAAAATACCTAAATTAAGACTGCTCTATGTGAATGCAAATAATGTTCACTGAGCTCATTTTCTTTGTAGGAGATTGACTTTTGGAAAGTGATGTGTAATTAAAACAGTTGTTAGAAAACAAGACAACAGACTCAGAATGGATTGCCTTATTCTAAGCCCCGTTACCACCAAACTGAGACTAAATTACAGTTTCTGCTCTCCTAGGAATGTAATCTCAACCCGGTCAATCAGGAATTGCCTGAACAGCGCTAAGTAAATCATATGCCTGCTAGTTTAGGCCTCCATCCCCTAAAGGAATGTGACCTTGCAATAACTGACCTGTTCTTTTGTCTCATGTGACTCCTTTCTTCCTGCTCTTCAGTACCTATTAAGGTCTTTCACTTTGTACATGTCATTTCTACCCTCTGGATGAGATGCTGCCTGCTTCAAATCGATTTTTGTGCAAACAAACTCTTAAAAATTTTAATATGTAACTTTTAACAAGTTAAAATGGTCAGTCTGGGATTTTCCATTTTCCATATGGTAGCCTATGTAAAATACATGGTTTTCTTTGCTCTGTTTTGCTCACAGTGACATAACTTATTGTCTGTTGTGGGATGCTTTGTATATTCTTAACTCACCAGAAGTATATCTTGATTTGTGACCAATTCCTTTAAGTGAGGGGATAAGGATGGTTCTGTATAATGAAATCACCTTACACCAGAAAAAATAAGATATTGTTATGTGTATTTTACAGCCAGTGAATCATAGATCACATCTCACTACATTTTTAAAGCAGAAATGGTGGAGAGAGCACGTCCACATCACACTCTGACCTTCTTAGAGTTTATCACAGAAACTGTCTTCTCAGCAGGAGTGACAACCTTAAGTATCAAGCCTCTAGTCACTTCTTCAATATCAGGTTACCTCCATTTTTTGACTATAGGAATATACTATACATGTAATTGTTATAAATCAAGTGTGTATTTCCCATTATATAATTAAGGATGTCTCAAATAAGCACTAAAACAACCATGGGTCCTAGACTGAAGACATCATTGCTTAAGAACTACAATTTTAGTCTTGTGTTCTTTATCATTAAAAATGTGGGGTTGGATATCTAGAAGATGATGATGCACTGATTCTTCTAAAATATACGTCTGTACTTGAGAGATGCATTTCAGATGTTTATGTCTTCTTGAGCTGTGAAGAATTTAAGATGAACAACTTTGTGCTTTTAAAGTATTGCTTAGAAATGAGAAAGCACTTAGCATAAACACCAGCATTTTTCTAACCAATTTCGAGAGACACTGCAGAAAAGTTTGCTTCTAAAATCAGAGATGTGAATGAAGCTAAGTAACTCAAAGCAGTAGCAGCTAACTGCACTGCCTGGAGCCTGGAGGTGCTGAAGCCCACGGCTTTGCAGTGAAAGGCTTAGATCTCATGCCAGCACTGGGGACTGACACTGGTTTTAATAGGACAAGCCTTCCCCATGCCACTGCCTGATTTTCCCACTTACAGACCGAAGGATAGGCTTCAGGAACATGTGGTTCAGATAATGGAATGAGCTGGTTCCTTGATAGGAAACAGAATGATTGTCCAGATGCCTCAGGCAGTTCTGTATCAGAGAAAGGGCACAGATTTCAAATAAGAATGTGTGGCTTCTCTTCTCACCTCTGTCTTGCAGAGCTGTGCCACAGGGACAGAGAGCAGCAGGTATGAGGCGGCGCAATGGCTTAATCAACTTCCAATACGTGGAAGCTAAAAGCTGTCACTCATATTCTCTGAGAACTCATAAAGAATTTGAGATGACTAGATTAAGGTTTCTAAAGACAAAGGAGAAAAAAAATAGGCTGGCTATTACAAGTGAGGACCTGGACAAATAAACTGGCAAAAGGACTGTGGAATCCGTCTTTTCTTGGATTCAGAGTCTGGCTCAAAATGGAAGTGATTTTCTCTTCATTCTGCCAGATTCACTGTGGGAATGGCTATTAGTCTGTTTCTCTCAGACCTTCCCATGACCTTGAGCAGGAGCCATGAGGCTGCCCCACATGGGGCTCAATGGTAACATCCTTTGGTTTGTTCTTTTAAAAGCTCCACTTATCTCAGCTTCTGGAATTAAAGCTGCCAAGGGAAGTGGATGGGCGTGAACATTACTATTTTATTAGTGTTAAAAGGGCAACATAGTCCACACCAATCTCTGGAGATAAAAATCCAAGAATAAATAAGAGATAGCACACCCCATTTTACAATCAGCAGTGTTTTCTCTTAAGACACTTCTCTTCAAAACAGACAAAAAGCTCATGGCAGCATCCTGCGTGGCTCTTGAATAAGCTAAGAGCTGAACGGGTAGCGGAGTACTGACTGGGTTTGCAAGAAAGGGCTACTATGAACACACGTGGACCGCACTGAAGCATCGGACAGTGTTTCAGAGGCCGGAGTGCATGGACACTTACGGGGCAGCTGGAGGCGTCCTGCTCCCACTGCGCCATGCTCAGGCTCTCCTCCAGGCTTGTGCACTTCTTCTTCACCACGTCCCAGCCGCAGTAAGGGTCCTGGGCCCCAACGCAGGTGCTGGAAACACACGCCACAGGGTCAGCAGAGACACAGCTTTACCCACTCCCACAGGTGCAAGCTGGGGCCAGGCTGGCCCTTCTGGGGTGACATGGGAGCTAGTTCTGAGAAACAAAGTTTTAGTCTGTTTCCCAGAGAACATAGATTTCTGCATTGGGCAGAAGTATTTAATTAAAACCAAATTTATTTTGGTTGAAACATCTATATGTTTCGCTAAGATACAGGGCAGACAAGCAGATAACCATCTGTGCCAACATGAGCCTTTTGGTGTCAATGAATAAAGCTTAAGTCAGAATTCTGCAGTGCTCAGAAATACTGGCTGTTGTTCCCACCACTGTCATCCCCTTACCGGTATTACTTGTCAAACACCTGGGATATAGAAAAGGATTGTATCATTTAGACACAATTTTGTAAGTGGCTTTATTATTTTCACTTTATCATCAGCACTACCATCACCATCACCTTAATAACAGATGCTATTTGTTGAACACCTACTAGACTGTATCAAATTATTACATCATTTAGGCACTTAACTCTAACAAGGGAGGTAGTATGATTTTTGTTTTAGTGATGAAAAACTGAATAGAGGAAATGTAGGAAATTGCCTCATGGACAAGCAAACACATGTACAAAGCTTCACCAAGGTTAGCGGGATTTAATAAAATAGGGAAGTCTTCCTTTTGAAACTGTAGTTTAAAAATGTGTTAACATTTTCAGTTTTATATAGTTCTAGTTATGGTATTCAACATACTTTATCAGAAGTATTGTAGATCGTAGATATTCTATTTTAGCTTTGTCTAAATGAGAGTGCATATATAACAGGGGCATTACGAAAGATTCTGGCCCCCACGTTATACAAGAGAAGGTGGATGGGGGTGGGGGAAGTGGGCACAGATGAGTGATAGAGTCAAAATTAGACAGATGACCCCACAGGCAAGTAGGGCGCTGAACCTGGGAATTCCCTCTCTAAAGGGGCCGAGAGGTCTGATTGGCAGGACCTGGGTCTGAGGCGGGGTAGGCAAGGGCAGCCTCGGGGTGCGGATGTCCTCTTAGAGGTGGGGGGGCACTTACAGCAAGGGAGAGTCTGTGACCGAGTCACCAAGGCACCAAGAGGGGGACTAGACATGGCAGCACGACTACCAAACACAGGGCGCCCAAGGAGGGGTATTACTAAGTTGTTAATATTCATGATGTAGAATAACCCTAAGTAACACATCCAGTATGCTAACCACATATAAAGCACTGCTCAAAGACTTGACCTCTGTTAGCTCATTTAAACTTCATAGAGCCTATAAATATAGTTCCTCAATAAGCACTACATGTATTCCCTCTCTAAATGAAGAAACAGAGGAGCAACAGAGGGGTAAAACTATTATTTATTAAGTTATGATGTGATTGTTCTTTGTTAATCACCCAAAGAAGATCAAACAGCAATGGTCAAATTGGCGCTTCTCCCAGCAGGACTAGGTTGGGTGGAAAGGGATACGAAACAATTACCTGTCACCATAACGTCATTAGGACTTTTTGATAGGTGACCAGGCATGTGTTCAAAGGTAAACTGAGGCACATTACAACTTTCAAGAGTCTCTTTGAGTATATATGGATTTCTTTCTGGCAGTGCCAAAATGATAATGGTTAGAGGCTCCTTGGAGCTAGGCACAAAGATTTTATAGAGGAGACTCAAGAGCTAAGCAAGGAAATGGTTTGATTGGCTGCAGCTTAAGTGGTTGCCTTAGTGGGAAAGCCTGGCTGGCTGTGGTGATGGTTGTTCTTAAGTTTCACCTTCTCAGATTCACATGCATCGACTCTGCTGAGGTTTTGTTTTGCTCACATAGAGCATTAGAGCCATCCCAGGCTAATGGCCTTCTGGTTTCATCACCTTAATGTGCCTACATCACTTCCACACACATACACAAAAATCAAACAAAACAGTTATAAAGTACAAAGTAAAAACTTTCTCTCCCCAGAAGTAGGCACTGATCACACTCTTATATATTTTGGAGATATTTTCTCTATACCAGTAAGCATTTATGCAGGGATGTACTTATACATACATACATATTTTGTTGTTTACATGTACAGTTATACATAATGCATGTAAAGGGGATTATTCACATGGCTTCAAGTTTTGCTTTTTACACATAATAATACATTGTGACACTTCCTCTTGTGCATCAATATAATTCTACCTTACTCCTTTTATGCCTCTATAGTATTGTTCCCTTGATGAACCAACATTTATTTAAATCCTTAAAAGCAAGGCTGTAATGCATATCTTTGTACATATTTTCTACACGATAAACTCCTGTTAAGTGGAACTGATGAGTTTAAAGTTATGGGTATTAATCATTTTCACTGACCAACAATGGAGGGCACTTCCCTCTCCTCTACTGGTTTCATGCTGGCTGTTGCCTATTTTGTTTTTTTTTATATTAGCCCTTTCTGATAGATGAGAAATGATTTTCTTGTCATCTGTTTTATTTATTTAGTTGTGAAATCATGATTATGTGCATTGTGTGCACTTACTGCTATCTGTGTTTCCATTTGTGTAAAACTCCTATTTATAACTAGTCTCTGCTTTTGCTTAATTTTGACTGGGTCACTGGTTTCATTGTCTTTTATGTAGCCACTGCAAGTGAAAATATCTGTATTAAAAAATTAACACTGTCAATAATGTTTCAAAGACTTTTTCCATTTGTCACTAAGCATTTTTTCTTGAGGTAATCAAATGTTTTAACATTTTATGCAATAAAGTTTATGAGTCTTTTCCCTGGAAAATCATATCTGGATTTTGGCCATATTTAGAAAAAGCTTCTGCACTTAAAAATCATAAAAAATGTGTACCCACAATTCCTTGTATTCTTCTACAGTATTATTTCATTTGTCTCCCTATCTTTGATCCATCTAATGTATTTCAGCAACTCTCCTTCCCTTCAAAAAATTAAAGCAAACGAACAAAAAAATGTATATTTTGATCTAAATATCTCAGTCCTCACACCAACACAAACAGATGGTTTAGGAGTAAGAACAAGGAAGCTGTACATGTTTGATTTTTCCTTTTTCTATTAAATTTAGATAACATCATTTTCAAACATAAGTTGACAATAGAGTATGAACATTAGCTTTTAAAATCTCTAGTTCTTGAGGTTTAGGATTGTAATTTTTAATAATTTACTTTTTAAAATAAAAATTCACTTAAATGGTCAGTTCCATTAGAGTAGAATTTGACCTATATTTATTTATAGTACATAAAACATATCCTCAATTTTAAGAACTAATCATTTGAAAGATACACAATTGATTTAATATCTTTTTTTCCTGCAGGGGACAAGAGAGATGAGACTAAACCAATGATGTGGAAAGTACACTTTCGTATCTATGGAATTAGATATTTCACATAATGTAACTAGGCCCAGCATGAGCAAATTCTCCCTGAGTAATGTCACTGGTATAGATGTTCTCTAGGAAAATACCCAGAGGAAGTTTCTGGAAATCTGGGGCCTTCAACTGTGAGACAGACCTGAGCAGAGGGTGGGAATAAGAACCTTTCCACCCTTCTGGGACCTCACCCGGCGGTGGCAGTGAGATCCTATTCCCAGTGTCCTAGCCCTACCAAGTAGGACCTTATCCCGGTGACAGAAGGCCACAGTCTGTAGCAGACATTGGGATTATCTGGGTATGATCCCATTTTCATGTTGGTGGGCTAACAGCACAATGATACATTTACAGAATTATTCAAAAAGCCTGAATTCCTTTTAATATTTCTTTTATTAAAGCAACATGGCCATTAGACAAAATTAAAATTCCTAAAAGGGGAAAATTCCACAAACTCCCTAACTCTGCCCTAGGCTTTTCCTTGCATATCTGCCTGGAGAACTCAACCAATGCCACAGGGCTACATGGAACATTTTAAGCTGTTTTAAATGAAAAGCTGCTTGTAAAAACATCTCCTTCTTCACATTTCACTTATCCCTTAAGATATTAAAACTTCTATATAAACACAAAGGCCCATTAAAAATACCATTATAGATAAACATGTTTCCCTGACTCAAAATATTTCATACCATGGGCAAAATTCTGATGAACTCTACCTTTATTCTAAATTATACTCTAAGAAAAAGCAGTCATCGTAACTTATTATTTTTGGAAGTTGGGTCTTTTAAAGAGACCATGTGGAAAATCACAGACTTCCTATTAAACCAGGCAACATGAAAACAGCTTTTCTTCATTCTACTTTGAAAATGTTTTTCTTTGTGTGATTAATCTTTCTAATAAAATGTTTTCCTTATATTGGTAATAACCTTAGATTATGCACATTTGATATACTGCCATGATATTTGAAAGTATCTGAATTCAGAAAATATGCTTGTCAGAACCTCAAGGTTTAATTTGAGAATGCATTTATTGAGTTTTAGAGCTAAATGTATATTTAGAGGCAGGATAAACTACCTTCTTTTTTCAGGACAATGATATTAATATTTATTTAAACTCTTTATATTTTAAAGTTTGCTATGCTATTTGTTAATTTGAGCAGTAGGGACAAGAGGTATATTCATCAAAATCTTTTTGTTACATTTTTGGAAAGCTGGAGCTGATTACTGAATATGAGCCCTTTCTATATTAAATTAAGTATCAATGACTTTATCTGACTTGTTTCTGTTACATTGTTATTTTATCAGTTTACTTTTGACATTAAAAATTTTTGCCATATTAATGAAATGTAAGCATTAAACCTGAGATTTTAAAAGTGTTCAATCACTCATTCATTTAGCACATACTTAAGAGCACCTGCCATAAACTAGACTTTGAAAGTGGGGGCACTGTGCAAACAAAGCAGACATAGTCACTGCAACCTGAAGAACGTACCCCCTTTGTAAAGGACATAAAAATGAAACAATTACACTGATAAATATCAACAATGAGTTGAAAAGGAAAAACCCAAAGGGGAAAACCCAATTTAGATAGATGAGCCTGGGGTCAAGAAAAATGTGGGGAATGGC